ATCGTTGACAGAGCAGGCAAACGAAGGCAAACAATGCTGAACATCAGTCAAGCTTTTGAGAGGCAAAGCCAAATTAAGCAACCTATGGGACTCAGAAGTCACGCAATGATGTTTCTTCTGAGGGTAAGTTTGGTTTGAAAAATAAAAGATTGTACCTGAGATAATTCTGTTAATAAAGGAGATTGGTGAAGATATCCATGGAAGCTTCATTTGTCAAGCTTTTAAAAGTTTGCTTAATGTTCTGGTAATGTTTCATCACATCCTGCATTAGCCAATGCTTTAAACATCTGAGACGAAAACCCAGAGGTGTATCGAAAAGCACAAGCGTTTTTCTATGCTGATGACATGATAATTTCCTTGTTGATGAAAAAAAAATGATTAGGTCCTCATCATGAACCCGCTGGAGATTAAAAATGTCTCCCTAAGAGAAGTTCCAATCAGACCCGAAGGTCTCTCACTGAATTTTGCTGCATTTTTCAGCCTCATTTCCATTTCACGTCCCTCAAGGCAATGTCAGGCTGTCCAAATCGCGCTTTGCACAGCCTGACCGACCTTCACCCGCAGACACCCGACCACTTGATGTGGAAATAATGTATGAACATAAAAAGGCAGACAGGTAAACAGAAAAACAAAAGGCCTGACGGTGATGATGGAAGCAAACCTGAACAGTTTTAATTGCCAGCTTTATTTGCGATTTTCAAAAGGCAAGGTCGCCCGAGTCATCAAGACTGGGGAAGCACTGAAGTGCAACAGACGGTTCTGAATTTGAGCAACATGAAAAGAAGTCACAGGAGGTCAAAGCTTGACAGTTCAAGGCCTGATGAACTTGCATTTCTATCAGGAAACAGCCAACATATTTAAAATGTTCTAATCATTGTTATTTAAAGCCACATCCTTTAAAACATTTCATAAACATGCTTAAAAAAACTCATTGGCTAAGACTCAAACTTCCAGACCTCTCAAAGCAACAGTCTTTTTTATACAAATACAAAATCTGAGTCTTCTTGGGGACATTAGAAAGAAAAAACAAAAGAAAAGGTGGTAGGACCCAAGGAAAGACAGAAGGAAAGAAAGGGAGAATTAGAAAATAAAGGAATGTTATAAAGGATAGAATTAGAGAAAGGCAGAGGGAAGGTAAGAAGGAAGACACTAGGAAAGAGCAAGGAATGTAAGGTAGGTAGGACACAAGGAAGGAAAAACAAGGACAAAAGGAAAGTAAAAAATTGGAACCAAGAAATGGAAGATAGGAGAAGAGGAAAGTAAAAAAAAACAACAACAAAGTAACAGAGGAAGGAAACAATACAAGAAGAATCAAAGATGCTAAAAAGGGTGGAACAGGAAGAAGTAAGGAAGGGGTAGTTCACAATGAATAAAGTAGGCAGGGCACAAGGAAGGTATGGATGACAGAAATATAAGAGGAAAAGATAGGTACAACAAATAGTAGAAAGAGAAATGAACGGTAAGTTCTTGCAAATTCTCACAAAAACTCAAGGAAGGTAGGACAGAAGGAACTGTCACAAGGAAAGGAAGCAATTAACGATGAAAGGAAATAAGAAAGAAGAAAGGAAGGTAGAAAACAAATAGGGGAGTCATTCTGGGAATGCAATAATTGTTATATATGCTTACTTTCTTTTTCAAGGTTGTCCAGACAAGGAAGAGTATGGCATGAATTTCGTTCCATTATTGTTCAAAGCAAAGAGCTGATTTTGCAAATGTATACTTGAAATGAGATTTTTATTTATGCTTATATTTTTTTCAAATATTTTTTTAGTTCATCATTTCAAAAGTATTTGTTCACATTTTTGTTTAAAGCTACAGTGTGTAATTTTCAGCGACATCTAGCGGTCAGACTGCAGACCGCAGCAACATGAACATCTCCCCCCCACCGCTTCTCCCCCCCAACAGTACGGCGAGCGTTACGGGACAAAATTTCTTCCACGACGTCCACATCACCTACCCTCTCAAGTGATGAGGTTTGTTTACATAGATAATTTTACAGATAGTATTTCATTAGTCTGTGTAGGGTATAGATTTCATGTAGACTTTAGATAATAAATATACCCGTTATTTTTTCTACATCGTTGTGACGTTTTGGTGAGCTGCTTTGCATGGTGATATAAACAGACGAAGTAATGGTAGTCATTAGTTTAACAGCGAGATTGTGTTCGCTGGAAGAATATATATTCCCCGTTTACAGAGTCCAAGTCATTTTGGTGGCACGGGGGTTACAACGCGAGGAAGAGGGAGAGGACGAGGGCGAAGGCAGGGAGGCCGTGCTGCTAGGGCCAGGCGAGAGAGGGGAGCCAGCGGGGTGAGAGCAGAGGAGGAAACGCTTGAAGATCTCCAAAGGAGCCGGAGAGAAGTAACCGAGGTATATATCCAGAAAATTATTTAACAGAAAATTACTGAATCATTACCTATGAAACGTCAGGGACGTTGCTGAATAAGTATACTGGAGAGGAACAGCATCATCACGCCGCAGCATGTTATTGTTTTAGACAGGTCTGAGCATCCTGTACTCCAAAAACTGCAGTGATATTAGACAATTGTGTGTGTAGGATTAATTACCTGTCCAAGAGAAAACTGGCAACTTGAGCGTCACTTTGAAAACCTTTTTCCTCCATCAGTGACTTCCATCGTGTAAATGCCGTGCCAATGTTGATCCGTGTTTTTTGTCGTTTCTTGTCACGCTTGCGTTTATTCTCGTCGTGTTTCCGCTTCTTAGATGACGGGGGTTCGGTGTCCGCCGTTTTTCGTTGTGATACAGAGTAGGCATGATCCTCCATTCGTCTGATGTTTGGCCAAACAGTTTGCAAAGTCACTCACGCCTGCCGCCTTGTTCACCTTTCTTGTTACTGATGCGCAGTATACCTGCTTCTTCTTCTTCTTTGGTTTCAGGCAGACTAAACGCCTCTCAGGCATAATACTGCCATCTACTGTTCAGTACCGTCTCAGTTCATCTCTCTCAACTTGCCGTAGTTATTTTTGAGCGTCATGGGAGATCTCGCAATCGCTAGTTTGTTGCCTCTGCGCTTGCCGTAGCGCAAAGATGTCAGCCTCCATGGCTGCGAGACCCGCTCCTATGTAATTATAAATAACGAATTCTAAGGCAACGCAAATATTATGGTTAAAAGGCTGAGCTCATAGGTGATGATAAATAACATAGTTATGTATAATATATTAAATTTCTGACTTTATATGCCTGTAATTATTACACACTGTAGCTTTAAATCATTTATTTTACCAGTTTGTGTTTCACAAATCTTTTCATTTGAAGCCTTGTACTGATTTCTTGATGTGCATGTTGCACAATAAAAATGTTGCTAATGTCCATGTAAACCAATGTACACAAACTTTAAGAAATGTTGAAAGAAAATAATAAAAAAATATATATTTTGGGGGGGAAAAACGGAAAAAAACAAACATGAAGTTACTCTCAAACCTTGCTTTTAGCTTTTTAAAAGTTTCATTTCTGGATAGTTTTTTTTTTGGTATACGAAACACTCAATCGTGAAATAAAATTCTCTTCATAGAAAAAAGGTATCCAAATGTTGCTGCTGTGATGCTTTTCCATCCAAGTAACAAGGGCTGTCTCAATAAAATAAATTTTTCAATTCTGAATCGATTCTCATTATAATTCCTTAAAATCAATTAATGAAAAAAAAAATGTTCTGCTTTACTTTGAACCACTATATGACTATTACTTTAGTAATTTGCTGTTAAATGTTAGTTCAAATAACAGCGCTCAAAAGGTTTTAAATATGAGCAATCCAATTTAAGATCATGCAGATGGAGTCAGATCAATGGTGAAAGATTTAATTAAATAATTTTCAGGATTGTTATCAAATCGATTCTCAAAATTTTTATCTAAATCTAGCCCAACGAGTGACTTTGTTCCAGAGATCTTAAGGGTTGTTTCCAATCCTATTTGACGCTTAGAGGTGGGTAGAATACCCAAAGAATTGTACTCAAGTAAGAGTAGCACTACTTTAAAACATTTTTATTCAAGTAAATGTAAATAAAGGTAGAAAGACTACCTAAGTACTAATTAACTAATGGACAATAACATTAGTTAAGGTTTATAAAATGCCAGCAAACAGACCTAATTTGCAAGTTCTGGCATTTTAAAGACTCAAATGCATTTATGAAAAAAACAATTATGTCATGAATATAAAAGAACAAATACTTGCAGAAGAAAAAAAATGCTTCCACCTATTTTTTTTTTTTCAAAATAAAACTTAGAAAACCAATCCTTAAAATTAGAATTTTATATATTGGGATAATGAACTTCCTCTGTTTATAACTACTGTTTAGTATGTTTAGCTGATTCTGGAATATTTCAAATTAAGTATCAAAGAGGACAGAGTCTCTGATAGAGATTTTACTTTTGAAAAGTAAAAAGTACTTGACAGTAAACCTCCCAAAAGTGCCTTTTTTTCTAAATTGTTACCCAAGTAAATGTACCTGAGTAAATTTAACTAATTAATGCCCATATCTGGTGCTTTTATTTTTATTTTCTGAAAAAAAAAATTTATTATTATTTTTTTTTTCATCTTTCTAAATAAGGCATACAAATGAATACATTTAATTAAAACTCCCCACAAAAGGAAAAAATTAAAAATAATCCACTGGACTGGTTTCCGAGTTTGAATTTAATTTGATTATAAAAATGAGTGTTAAAAGGTTTAGGCTTAAACAGTTTGCTGTATCATTTTGGCATGATGTTGTGGTGAAATATTTTTTTATACTTATTTAAAAAAAAAAAAAAATTATATATATATATATATATATATATATATATATATATATATATATATATATATATATATATATATATATATATATATATATATATATATATATATATATATATATATATATATAATATTTTTCTGCATGCTATATTTTATTATTTTATTTTTTAGACTTTTTGTTGCTTCTTTAGTAGAAGAAGCGGTCACATGGCCGAGCTGCACTTCTTCTTCTTCTGCAGTAGTAGCCAGTAGCGAGCTAGCCCTCGAGGAGCTACATTACGACACAGAGAAGCTGAACAGCGACACCACGGATTCTGTAGGGTCCCTTCCCATGTGAATACACTCTACACTTTCTCTTCTTCGTATTACGTGTGCAAAAATATCGTGTAAATGTTTTTTATCGCATTTTTTCCAGTATTCCCAGCACCGCTCACGCTAACGGCTAGCATTAGCTTCGTGGCTAAGCCTAACTAGAAGCAGCTTTGTTAGCTTGTTGTATGATGTGGGCGTGTAGCTCTACGCAGAAACCCGACGCTGTATCTGTACATATGTGTTAAGTGTTTAATCCACCTTTTCCTCTCGAATATTTTTCTTTTATGTCTTTGTTCGAATCAGATAAGAAAAAAAACCCGGCTTCCAGCTGTTCTTTAGATTTTCAAAATGGACACAAGAGCCTTGAGGAATCCCTATCATGACTATGATGGGAGCCCAGCTTCCACACAGGCGCTGTTTGATTCTCATGGGAAGGTAAAGATGGAGGGGGATGCTGCTGCTGCTAAATGTTTGCAGATCATTTGCTTCAATATTTCCTTTTTTCTTCCAGCTTACACCTGAGTTTTCCCAAAGAGTGAGCAGCAAGATCAGCGAACTTTTAGCTGTTATGGAAAATGGGCTGAAATCTGCTGATCCAAGAGACTGCACGACTTACACAGGCTGGGCAGGTGAGGCTTTGAACACAACAGTACCACAGACAGACATCCCAAGTTCCAAAAACTCATTTCAGGGAGATGCTTGTCATACACCCCACCCCAAAAAAAAAAACATACAATATATATATATATATATATATATATATATATATATACATAATACTTTCAATCTTGTAGCCTTGAACATCGGTTGTGCTTTCAGTTTTTCATGGAACTTCAGCATACAGTGCACCTCGCCATGATGTCATCATTCCTCACCATGGCCGGTTCTAGACAGGGGCCAACGGGGGCCGGTGCCCCTGTAGATCATGTCCTTTATAAAAACCGTCAGAACCGTTCGGTTCGACTGTCTCGGTTCAATTGTTAGGCGAAGCGTGTACACTCCAGAGCAGAAGGTGGCGGTACTGCGACCAAAGCCAACCACCAGTAGTGAAGAAGAAGAAGCGAAGCAGCTTAGCCGGGTGTAGCAGAAAAAAATCAGTTGTTGTGGAGAATTGTGTCGGAATGGCGAGTGGGAAAGAACAGGAGTTGGAAGTCGCGCCAGCAGCACTTTATAGGTCTGCTGTATGGGACCACTTTGCATTTAGAGTGACCTACGATGACGGGGGAAAGAAAGTTGTGGATAAAAGTGCAACAGTGTGCAAGCATTGTGCAACACGTTTTGTTTATGCTAACAGCAACATGACCAACATATCATGCTAACCCCGAAATCCCACATACCTACAGCCCCCACTGTGGCTCCTGGAGCCACAGCCTCCGCTGTGGTTCCTTGGAGATGGTAGAGAGCATGCGCCAGATGATTAAATTCAAAGCAGCAAAACATGCTGAAATGATCCAGGGTTTCCACGGATCATTTAAAATAATTACAGTTCATTAATTTTTTTGTTTTTTTCCTTAATTTCATTAATTTTTATGGGATTTTGGTGTAATAATCAACATATACCGAACCGGAAACCGTGAACTGAACCGTGGATTTTGTGAACCGTTCCACCCCTAATATGCATGCGTCAGATAATGAACTCAAGCCTACATTACCGTGTTAACATGCTTTTCAATCCTTCCTGCACATTCTTATTAAACTAAACTTTGCTTTAAACTGTTGTGTGCTTGGAAAAATATAAATTATAATGTTAAAAATTAAAAAAAAAACTTGACATGTTAAAAACTTAAGATAAATCACAAGACAGAAGTCAATGTCACAAATGAATAACTTTTATTTTGGAGTCACAGTATGTTTATATAAGATAATACTATTAATATAATGTGACTTTTCTAGAGAATCATTATACATACCATACTTATTTTATTCAGGGTTTCTACAGTCTTACATAATTTCAGAATTCCCTGACTTTTAACTGACTCAGGATTAGTTTTCCTGACAAAATACAGGTGCTGGTCATAAAATTAGAATATCATGAAAAAGTAGATTGATTTCAGTAATTCCATTTAAAAAGTGAAACTTGTGTAGCCTATAGAACTAGACTGAAAGACCATTTAAAGGCTTTTGCAGGTGGTTTGAGTTAATTAGCTGATTAGAGTGTGGCACCAGGGGCCGTCAATTTTGAACCTTTTCACAATATTCTAATTTTCTGATATGATGAATTTGAGATTTTCATTTGTTGTCATTTGTAATCATCAAAATTAAACAAAATAAACATCTGAAATATATGAGTTTGTATGTAATGTATGAATATAATATACAAGTTTCACTTTTTAAATGGAATTACTGAAATCAATCTACTTTTTCATGATATTCTAATTTTATGACCAGCACCTGTAAATGCAGCAACAAGACAATAATAATAACATAACAGGTCACCAATTTAACATGTTTAGCTCTATAACATTTAGATGCACCTCTCCAATGTCTAAGAGAAAAAAATGTAATGAACATTTTTTAAATGTATGACCTGCATCACTGTACAGAAGACTGCCATATTTACACTGTGCGCATGGCATACGATTATGCCAATTTTCCTAATCCCTGACCGATAATTTTTAATCTAGGGTTATTTGGGTGTTGGGTGAAATGGGTGGTGGGTGTGTTACTGTACTTATATTTTTTTTGCCTTGTGATTGTTTTTTAGCCTGCTAAGCCAAAAAAAAAAATGTCTGATTCGCGCCAATTCCCGGACAAAAATCACGCCAGCTGGCGGAAAATCACGCGGCTTTTCCAAATCACGCGAGAATGTGTACAAAACAACAAAAAAATGGCGCCAGCAACGCTACTGGGTCGTTTTCATCAAATGTCTGTGATTTTAAAGTAAGTTTGAGTGATAATTGTTTTTGCGATAATTGCACTTGCCCGGCAGGCAAATTCTGCCTGCCTCGGCAAAAACTGAAGGCAGTGAACGGGAGCTGCCAGCCTCTGAACCAACCAGGCTAACCTTCTCGCCACAGTCATTTAAATCTAATGGAGAAGGCATCCGTTTAATAAAAAGGCATTACTGTACAATTTCGGGAAATAAACTCATCTCCCCCTGATTTTAATAAATGAGCGTCATCTTTATCTCTCTCACCGAACTGCAGAGGAACTTCGTAGCATGTTTAATAACCTTGAAGAGAGGTAGGAAACTGGTTTATTTCCAGAAATGGCATTTGATTTACTAGGAACCACTTTAAGCACAGCCAGTTATATAAAACTAGCTGCTTACCACCAGAGTTGCCTTCCATGCTGGTCGTAACTTTAGCTTCTGTCTGGAAACATCAAAAACAGCATTCGTTAAAATGTATGCCATGTTTTGTGCGCATGTGTTTCTGCATGTTGGATGTAGGCCTGTCGCGATAATCAATAAATCAATTAAACGCACGATAAATAAAAATTATCCACGTCATTTAATTTATCGGCTATATCGTCTCTGCCTGTGTTTTCCTCTTTCTATTGATGACGCTGGATGACGAGGCTTAACTCCGGTGCTATCCACTGACCCCTCCCCTTCCTCATTTTTTTTAGGAAGGGAATAAATGAGGAGGGAGGAGGAGTGGACTAGGTAGTCAGCGCGCATTATTTTGTACTTCTGCAGCTTTAGATCCCCGTGAGGAGATGGCGAGATAAAAAAAAAACACATCCCATGTTGGTGGAAAAAGCTCAAAATGGAACTGGTTTCAAAGCCGAACGCAACAGCCGCAGTGTGGGAGTATTTCAGATTTAAACCCAATGACCGAGGTGAACCTATGCAAGCCAGTATGTCGCATTTGTCATGAAACGGTAGCAACTAAGAGCAGCAATACAACCAACCTACACACACAGCTAAAGCACAACCCCCCAGCAAAGTTTCTCCAGCTGGGCACAAAAAGTACAAGCGGTGGCCCGTCAAGACAGTCCACCATCACTGAAGCAATTAATCGACAGGCAGTATACAAAAAGGACGGTGCAAAGTGGTGCGCGCTCACAGACAGCGTAGTTCATTTAATTGCTAAAGAGATGCTCCCATCTAATATTGTTAATAGCCTATCTTTTTTAAAATCTAATGATATACAGACTTCATTATCTGTACTCCTTTGGTTGAATGTAGTTTTTATTTCCACTGTGGTTTTATCTTGTATTTAGTTTTTATTCAAGTGTATTTTTAGATAGACTGAGAGTCCATTTGATTTTTATTTCTCGTTTTATTTTGTTAACCAGTTCCAGTGTTGAAAATAAAGTGTGTTTATCTTTGGCATGCATTATTACGTAATTTCCATTAAATCAGTGTAAAAAAGGTCTTCAAACAATATTATCATTTATCGCAATAATTTTTGAGACAATCGTTTAGCAAAATTTGTTATCGTGACGGGCCTAGTTGGATGTATTTCTTCCCGCGGATGTAATAGCCACTTTGCAATGATTGCAAAGCACATTTTTGCCATCTTTCTCTTCCTTAATATGAAGCCCAACTTTCGATCGCTTTTTTGTTTTACTTTTCTAGACTTACGCCTGGTCACTTCGTACTTGCTTACTGTATGCCATGTGCAAAACTTGCATAAAAAACATGATGTAAGTTGTGCTGCCCAGCGCTAGGCTCTGGTGCTGCCTGGAATTGTTAAGAAAATCGTTAATCGAGCTGCCAAACGGTGCCATGGTATTGGAACACGCAAAACCGGTTTTTGATTCCCATCCCTAGTTAGGATGTTGATAAGAAAAAGTTGCTCCTGCTTTCAAAACTATACACTTGACATTTAATGCTGCTCATATGGAAAAGCCAGTACCTTCTAGGAGGAGGAATTGGTAGTCAAACATGACTTAAGGTTAAGATTTATGATTAAATCAATGAGAAGGATGTCTACAGGACAAGTCAATTGGAAGTTTTTAACTTAAAACGATGTTGGCAGCATCTTACGGTGGGATTGTTTCCAACAGTGGTGCATAATCCTGTAAAAGTGTTTAATTATAAATGGCAGTATCACTGTGTGACCATTTTAGTTATAGTGATTGCATTAAGTCCAGGTCACACTGGTTGCGTACGACTTTTCAATGGTGGGCAGATCTGGTCTCTGTGCTACAAAAAGTGAAACAATCTTCCACATTTGACTTGGGCACAATATATAATGTACTGAATATTATAGAAGGGGGAAAAAGGATCCAGCTCAGCTACAAAGTAAAGCCCCACTGCATGTGTCTGTGCAGCATCTATTAAACTAGAACGGATAGAGAATTTTTATAGGCTATATTAAAAACATAATAGGAACTATGTTTATAGAAAAAGAAAACACAACTATAAAGGCTATGGGGTGTTTTATTTGCTGGCTGAGGCAGTGAGAGTTGATTCTCAGAGAGAGGTCTGAATTTTTTCTTTTTCTTCTAAAGAGGGGAGAGGGATAAGCTGTGCTTATCTACTCTGTCTGCCCCTCTTTGTTTTCGTTTTTTGCAAGGCTTAAAGAGGATCACTATTTTACTATATCTGTTTTCCGTACTGAAGTTTGACAAAGTTTAGTTGTTTATTTTTCTTCTTTTTTTTAAAGTTTAATTGATCGTTTATGCACAAGCCTGCTCTGCTTCATGCTTTGTGCTACTCTATCTTCTTGTGCAATTGACAGATTTTTTTGTGTGTTTTACTTCATAACCACATCTCTCTTCCCATCAGACCACTAAAATCGACCTGTGGTCTATCTCAGTCAGAGCTACGCAGTCCACTTGGAGCAAATCATGTCAGTGTGATCATCCCCAATTACTCTCAATGTGCCCTAAACAGCACAAGCTTGTCCGACACGATTTCTGTTGAATTCAATGTAAAATTGGGTTCAGTATGTACAGGGCTCTACGCTTGAGGATTGTTTAAAAATGGCAGCATATTACTGTGGAATTGTTGCACTAAAAATGGCAGCCTCATTCTGTGAGATTTTGTTTAAAATTAGAAGGATCCAGTTCAGGTTGATGCTGTTGGGTATCTTCATTAGAAATGGCAACATGAAACTGCGGGAAACTTAAAAATCACAGCATCATGGTGTGCCACAGCAATTCACAATGGCAGTATCTTGTTTTAGTTTTTTTTTTTTTTTCAAAAAGAAAACATCTTGCTGAGGGATTGTTAACTAAAACTGGCAGCGTAATGCTGAGGGATTGTTTAAATAAAACTGGCAGCGTAATGCTGAGGGATTGTTTAACTAAAACTGGCAGCATCATGCTGAGAGACTGTTTAACTAAAACTGGCAGCGTCATGCTGAGGGATTGTTTAACTAAAACTGGCAGCATCATGCTGAGGGACTGTTTAACTAAAACTGGCAGCATCATGCTGAGGGACTGTTTAACTAAAACTGGCAGCGTAATGCTGAGGGACTGTTTAAATAAAACTGGCAGCGTAATGCTGAGGGACTGTTTAAATAAAACTGGCAGCATCATGCTGAGGGACTGTTTAGATAAAACAGGCAGCATCATGCTGAGGGACTGTTTAACTAAAACTGGCAGCGTCATGCTGAGGGATTGTTTAACTAAAACTGGCAGCATCATGCTGAGGGACTGTTTAACTAAAACTGGCAGCGTAATGCTGAGGGACTGTTTAACTAAAACTGGCAGCGTAATGCTGAGGGACTGTTTAACTAAAACTGGCAGCGTAATGCTGAGGGACTGTTTAACTAAAACTGGCAGCGTAATGCTGAGGGACTGTTTAAATAAAACTGGCAGCATCATGCTGAGGGACTGTTTAACTAAAACTGGCAGCATCATGCTGAGGGACTGTTTAACTAAAACTGGCAGCGTCATGCTGAGGGATTGTTTAACTAAAACTGGCAGCATCATGCTGAGGGACTGTTTAACTAAAACTGGCAGCGTAATGCTGAGGGACTGTTTAAATAAAACTGGCAGCGTCATGCTGAGGGATTGTTTAGATAAAACAGGCAGCATCATGCTGAGGGACTGTTTAACTAAAACTGGCAGCGTAATGCTGAGGGACTGTTTAAATAAAACTGGCAGCATCATGCTGAGGGACTGTTTAAATAAAACTGGCAGCATCATGCTGAGGGACTGTTTAACTAAAACTGGCAGCGTCATGCTGAGGGACTGTTTAACTAAAACTGGCAGCGTAATGCTGAGGGACTGTTTAACTAAAACTGGCAGCGTAATGCTGAGGGACTGTTTAACTAAAACTGGCAGCATCATGCTGAGGGACTGTTTAACTAAAACTGGCAGCATCATGCTGAGGGACTGTTTAACTAAAACTGGCAGCATCATGCTGAGGGACTGTTTTACTAAAACTGGCAGCATCATGCTGAGGGACTGTTTAAATAAAACTGGCAGCGTAATGCTGAGGGACTGTTTAAATAAAACTGGCAGCGTAATGCTGAGGGACTGTTTAACTAAAACTGGCAGCGTAATGCTGAGGGACTGTTTAACTAAAACTGGCAGCGTAATGCTGAGGGACTGTTTAACTAAAACTGGCAGCATCATGCTGAGGGACTGTTTAACTAAAACTGGCAGCATCATGCTGAGGGACTGTTTAACTAAAACTGGCAGCATCATGCTGAGGGACTGTTTAAATAAAACTGGCAGCGTAATGCTGAGGGACTTTAAATAAAACTGGCAGCGTAATGCTGAGGGACTGTTTAAATAAAACTGGCAGCGTCATGCTGAGGGACTGTTTAAATAAAACTGGCAGCGTAATGCTGAGGGACTGTTTAACTAAAACTGGCAGCGTAATGCTGAGGGACTGTTTAACTAAAACTGGCAGCGTAATGCTGAGGGACTGTTTAAATAAAACTGGCAGCGTCATGCTGAGGGACTGTTTAACTAAAACTGGCAGCATCATGCTGAGGGACTGTTTAAATAAAACTGGCAGCGTCATGCTGAGGGACTGTTTAACTAAAACTGGCAGCATCATGCTGAGGGACTGTTTAAATAAAACTGGCAGCGTCATGCTGAGGGACTGTTTAACTAAAACTGGCAGCATCATGCTGAGGGACTGTTTAAATAAAACTGGCAGCGTAATGCTGAGGGACTGTTTAAATAAAACTGGCAGCGTCATGCTGAGGGACTGTTTAAATAAAACTGGCAGCGTAATGCTGAGGGACTGTTTAAATAAAACTGGCAGCGTAATGCTGAGGGACTGTTTAAATAAAACTGGCAGCGTAATGCTGAGGGACTGTTTAAATAAAACTGGCAGCGTAATGCTGAGGGACTGTTTAAATAAAACTGGCAGCGTCATGCTGAGGGACTGTTTAACTAAAACTGGCAGCGTCATGCTGAGGGACTGTTTAAATAAAACTGGCAGCGTCATGCTGAGGGACTGTTTAACTAAAACTGGCAGCATCATGCTGAGGGACTGTTTAAATAAAACTGGCAGCATCATGCTGAGGGACTGTTTAAATAAAACTGGCAGCGTCATGCTGAGGGACTGTTTAACTAAAACTGGCAGCGTCATGCTGAGGGACTGTTTAAATAAAACTGGCAGCGTCATGCTGAGGGACTGTTTAACTAAAACTGGCAGCGTCATGCTGAGGGACTGTTTAACTAAAACTGGCAGCATCATGCTGAGGGACTGTTTAACTAAAACTGGCAGCGTCATGCTGAGGGACTGTTTAACTAAAACTGGCAGCATCATGCTGAGGGACTGTTTAAATAAAACTGGCAGCGTAATGCTGAGGGACTGTTTAATTAAAACTGGCAGCGTAATGCTGAGGGACTGTTTTACTAAAACTGGCAGCAGTATGTTTGAGATTGTTTTACTGAAAAACGCAGCTTGTTGTATTGTTTCATGTAAAAATACAGCATCATTTGAATGTTTTCTTTAAAATGGCAGCATCATGCTGTGGGATGTGTTTGTTAAAAATAGCAGAATGTTGCTGTGGGCTTGTTTGGTTAATTATCTCTGCATTATGCTTCCTGATTCCTGTTTTAGTAGATCTTCACTTTTTCTAGAAGGCAGCATAAATCAGATTTTTAGGGTACAAAACATATTTCAATTTAGCCGAACCCTGACATGGACAGCCTAAGGCTCTTTATTGTCTTCATTTTATTGGTTTAGAACCATGGTTTTCCACTTTTTGCCACATTCTGAAAGCAACACTGTTTCACCCAGATAATGAAATAATCATTTTATCTCAGTATCCCATATTAAGTGCATCTTCTAAGAACTCAACTATGTATTTTTAAAGTGTCAGCTCATTAGATCAGATGTATAATCCGAAGGGATGAATGTTAGTATGAACAAAAGATGAGGTGAGATTATTTTTTTTAATTGAAAAGAATCCTGGAAATAATTGTAGATGAAGCATAGAAGATACTCGGTCCTGTCGGTGTTGTGCTGTTTACAAACTGACCCAGGATAAATTTGACATGTTGGTTGTTTTCCACAGTATCTGTTCATCAAAGCGTCTAACTCAAACGTGACATGTTTGGTTGGTTTCCCTGGCAGGCATCGCTCTGCTCTACCTGCATCTCCACAGCGTGTTCAGAGAGGAGTCCCTCCTGCAGAAAGCGCTGGAACACGTCAGCCGCAGTCTCAAGTCTTTGACCCAACGCCACGACGTCACCTTCCTGTGCGGAGACACGGGGCCGCTGGCCATAGCTGCTGTGGTGTACGCTCGCCTCCAGAGGGCGCAGGAGTCTGACGAATGCATCAACAGGTCGCCGTTCTTTTGGTTTGGAGTTTTTATTTGGATGAAAGAAAGGTGGAACCAGCTCCGAGCTTTTCCTGCTGCTTTTCTCTCCTCAGACTGATGCAGTATTACCAGACGGTGGTGAACGGCTCCGGCGGGCTGCCAGATGAGCTGCTGTACGGCCGCGTGGGCTTCCTCTACTCCCTGGTCTTCATCAACCAGCAGTTTGGTCAGGATCGGATCCCTCTGCAGTACATCCAGCAGGTGGCTGCCTGTCAGGGTCCATCTGCTCTGGTTCGTATCCTCCAGTAGTTTCAGATTTCAATTACTTTTCTTCCCCATTTCAGATCAGTGAGGCCGTTCTGGCGTCAGGAGAGCACCTCAGCAGAAAGTTCAGGGTCCAGAACCAGAGCCCGCTGATGTACGAGTGGTACCAGGAGCAGTACGTTGGCGCCGCTCACGGGCTCGCAGGCATCTACTATTTCCTAATGCAGGTGGGACACGGGTCTAGTTCTCTAACCCGTAGAAACAGAGGGAAGCCTTTATGGAGCTGGAGGGTTTAGGGTGTTTTCACACCTGTAGCTTTAGATCAATTTAAAGTCAGGTTGACCTAAAATTGGTCCCATTTGGGTCAGTATGAAAGCACAACCGGACTCTTATGTGCGGCAACTAGTTTGGCCTGAAGAGGTGATCTTGTTCACCTATTAGAGCAGATGAGGATCTCATGGTTCACGTTAAGGAGTAATAAACCTGGGACTTATCCTGAATCAGGCAGATAATTCTGTGACGCATTTCCACGGCGTCATTATGTTATGTTTAAGCTGCAGCTGTGCTTCATTTTCACACACTGTAGTTGTAAATGCAACTATATGGAAAAAAGCTACTAATAAACAGCGTTAAATAACCAGCCTCCACCACAAAATCTATATCCGTTTATCTCTGTTACGTTTTCAGCAGTACGCTTTATAACCTACAGAGTGAATTTTGTTCCATTATTACAAAGAAAATGTTTTGTAATCCAGAAATGAAACTTTTAAAAACTTTTTAACACAAAATTTCTCTCCTTAGACAGAAATTATTTGTCCATACTTTTACATTTTTTGTTCATATTTAAGTTTTTCAGATTGTATTTATTAAAGTTTTTTTTATGATTGTTACAGATTGCAGTCTTTATAAATCACCTTCTCTTCACTTCTGGGGGTGGGCTTTCCTCTTGAGTGAGGAGAAAAGAGGCATTTCTATTGGTTTGCTGCACGTTAGCAACAACATTTTTAAAATATAATCTGAAAAAGACACATTTAAATAACAAAATTTGAAAAAAATCAAAAATGAAAATATAAAAAGTGAAATGTAAATAAGATAATATGACAAAATTCCTCTTAAAACTTGTTCATCAGCTTTATCTGTAGAGCACTTTAAAACAGCTGTAAAACGTGCTGAACATAGTTAAAAGTAATAAAATGCAGCATACTTTAACCTCAGTTTTCTTCTCATTAAAATGTAAAAAGTTCAGGGCTGACTTTTCAGGCTTTAATGTCGTCTCAAATGGTTCAACAAAGAATTAACTGAAAAAAACCATCTCCCTGCCTTTGCCTTTAAAGGTTTTTCCTTCAACTCTCCATTAAACTCCACATTAAACTCTTCACTGTTTTAGATAAACTTGGTTTCTTTTTCCGGCCTTGAATCCAGTAGATTTTCTAAACCCTCCACTCAGCTCTCTGTCTCCAGACCAACTAAAGGTTCTCTGCTCCGCAGCCCGGCTTCGTCTCGTCAGAGGAGCACGTTCACCGGCTGGTGAAACCCAGCGTGGACCACGTCTGCCGCCTCAGGCTGCCCACGGGGAACTACCCTCCCTGCTTGGGGGACGACAGGGACCTGCTGGTGCACTGGTGTCACGGATCCCCCGGGGTGGTCTACATGCTGCTGCAGGCGTACAAAGTGAGGAACCAGAGAGCGGTTACCAGTGGAGTGGCAGCGCCATCTAGTGGTTAAAGCTCTGCTTTTGTTCCTTTTGCAGGTTTTTGGGATCCCTCAGTACCTGGAGGAAGCTCTGCAGTGCGGAGAGGTGGTGTGGCGCTGGGGTCTGCTGAAGAAAGGCTATGGGCTTTGCCACGGAGCAGCAGGGAATGCCTACACCTTCCTGGGCCTCTATCGGCTAACGCAGGACCCCAAGCATCTTTACAGAGCCTGCATGGTGAGAGAGCGCCGCTGGCTCAGGATCGGTGTCCACAGACGGAGCTCTGCAGGATTTAGACCAAATTTTACTAAACTTTGAGTCTGTTTTCCTTTTCCTCTTTCTCTGCCTTTGATCTGAAAGTTCAGTTAAACTGGCTTCAAAGCAGCAGCAGTCACGGCGAAAACGGCGCGGCGCCAGCCCTGAAATTGAAAATTATTCAGAAGACGGCGACAGAGCCTTTAATGTTTATTGACAGGCAGGTCACCGGCTGTCCCTGAGCGACGACACTGGGGTCCCTTTTTTTATTTTTTATTGTTGGCAGAGCTCCAACTCGTCCTCTGATTAATACAGGTCTGTTCAGAGGAGGCCTGATCCAAATCCCAAACCCAGTCAGACCAATAGGAGCTCAGCTTTAGCAGTTAATGTTTCAGGATTAATCCGCCCCGCGCCGCTCTTTGCTCTGTTTCCCTGCAGTTTGCAGATTGGTGCTTGAACTACGGCAGGCATGGATGCCGGACACCAGACACCCCCTTCTCCCTTTTCGAAGGTAAGAAAATATCAAAAATAATCCCACTTCTGGGATTTTTTTTCTCCCCTTTTAAGGATAATACCTCATCAGAAGTAGTTTTAGACCCTTTTCCAGATAGATGTTTCTAACTTATTTAATTTATTTTTTTTATTTAAGGATCCCAATTAATCTGTACCGAAGTAAGGATAAACAGTTCATCACATCCAATAAAAGAATTGTATCACATTTAAAAACTACATAATTTTATTGAAGAAAACACCAGAATAAGTAAATACTTTGACTTCTACATTAGGATTATTTTCTTACCAACTGTGACATTTTGAAAGAAAATGGTTAGTTTTCAACTTTGGGGAAATCTCTTCTGGTCTTTTTACAGGGTTCCCGCGGGTCCTTAAAAAGTCTTAAAGCTACAGTGTGTAATAATTACAGGGATATACAGTCAGAAATGTAATATATTATACATAACTATGTTATTTATCATCATCTACAAACTCAGCCTCTTAACCTTAATATTTGCATTGCCTTAGAATTCGTTATTTATAATTACATAGGAGCGGGTCTCGCAGCCATGGAGGCAGACATCTTTGCGCTACGGCAGCGCAGAGCCAACAAACTAGCGATTGCGAGATCGCCCATTACGCTCGAACGTAACTACGGCAAGTTGAGAGAGATGAACTGAGACGGTACTGAACACACAGACTAATGAAATACTATCTGTAAAATTATCTATGTAAACAAACCTCATCACTTGAGAAGGTAGGTGATGCGGACGTCGTGGAAGACATTTTGTCCCGTAACGCTCGCCGTACTGTTGGGGGGGAGATGTTCATGTTGCTGCAGTCTGCAGTCTGACCGCTAGATGTTGCTGAAAATTACACACTGTAGCTTTAAAAGGCATTGAATTCTTCAAAATAAAACTTAAGACCTTAATTGGTATTAAAATGTCTTAAATTAGTCTTTCGTTGGTCTTATTTTTTTAAAACATCGTAAATAAGTTATTTATATTATGATTTTTTTTTTTTTTATCTAAATAAAACATTTTTAAAAAATGTATTTAAAAAAATTATAACGGCTCGCCATTATTGGTTCCGTCCCGATAGCGGAACCAATAAAGCGTTGTTGCGGCCGGAACATTTGGGAGATGCGCCATTTACTTTTTGTCTGGAAAATATGAGCTATGTGTAAATGTAACGAAAATGGCTATCCAGCCAAGAGTTTTCTCCATGGCTAAAACCAGTATCAGGGAACACACATGAGGCTCAGTGGATTTTGTGCAAGAAGCGATTCAAGCTCGGAACGATGGGAATTAAGGCAGTGGAGTCACATGCGAAGCGCGAAACACAAAGCATCAAAATGGAGTTACAGAGAAACAGCCGTTATTTCTCAGTTTTGTTCCACCCTCCACATACTAAGAAAACGATACAAAGAAAAATAGCTGCAAAAAAGACTTAGCACTGGTTATGTTGTGGCTTTAAAACTGATTAGTTTTGTATCCTGCTAAAACAAAGTTTGTGAATTCAGTTAAATAATTGTTAAAATATATCTTTCATTTGTGTGTTTTTAGCTTCCTTCCTGTATGGGAAGCTTTTCAAATTTTGAAACATTAGTGCAGTGGTTTATGTTAAAATAAACCTTTGGGTTAAGTTGTCGCAAGCAGGTTTTTCTTCTGTTTCTTGTGAATTTGGTCTTAAATTTTTATCTCAAGTGGCATTAAAAGTCTTATAAAAAGTCTTGAATTTAACTTGCATTATGCTTTAAATCCCATTAGCTTTTTTTTCTCCACTACCCACTTATGAGTGAACATTTGATCCTGTAGCAGTTCGTTATTGACCTTATCCAGATAACGGACAGTGACGTATAGAGCTGTATCTGCATAAATATTCGTAAAGCAAATTGCATATTATTTAGAAAAGATATAGTTAAGCAAAGGACTGAGATAACAGCTATGGTGAATTCCACGTTAGGGTAATAGTGTCAGTTGTTGTCTGTTGATGAAATAACGACTGAAAAACAGATCCATAAGCTACTAGTTTCCGAAGAAGAAGCTAACTAGAAATCTCAGAATGTCAGAAAGGTTCTATTTTTAAATATCTGCTAGTAACCAGGCCTTCAGTTCGGCTTAATCGGGTTAAAACGTTTTTCGTTTTTTTCCTCCATGATTTGTAAAGTATTTCGTACTTTACCACTTTGGAAGATGTTGTATCGGTCTCCGCCAGTCACGTGACTTTTGTTGCTAAGGCGCCATTTTAGGTGGAAAAGGCGTAGTGTAAACAACCGCAGCATAGCTAAACGAAGGACTAAAGGCCCGTTTACATAGCAGCCTGTCCAAGATAAGTAATTACAGTTAACATAAGCCTGAAAACAGGGGCGGATTTAGGAAAATCGGTCTCCGCCAGTCACGTGACATTTGTTGCTAAGACGCCATTTAAAGTGGAAAAGGCGTAGTGTACCGCGCCCGAGGTAAACAATTGACGTCACTTGGCGGAGACCGATTGGAAAAGTTATGTTTCCCCCTCAAAATTATTTAATAAGTGCATTTGTATGTAAATTTTTTTTTTTTTTTCTATTTAAATCAGATTGTTTACATTTAGATTTTGAGAGAAAAAAAAGGTAAAAATAGAGGCTAAACTGTCTATAAAGCAGTTTGTGCTGTAATTCTTTTATTTATGTTCCTTTATACTTTATAACAGCTTAACATAGCAAAAAGAAGACTTTCACAACGTGCTTTTTCCCTTCCCACCTTTTCGCTTCTCGTTACAGGCATGGCCGGCACCATCTACTTCCTGACAGACCTTTTGCAGCCAATGAGAGCGAGGTTTCCAGCTTTTGAGGTGTAGAGGGTGTCCACAGGTAGTCGCCTCCCTCGTCCAAAACACCAACACCGCACCACGCTTGCTGTCATACGCATGCAAGGACGCGACATCTCTTTAATCCTGCGACAAAAACGTCTTTTTACGCAGACGATTCCCTGTTTTATCTCACAGATCAGCTAAGCTTTCCGGTGCGTATTTTTTGTGTTTTTCAGTGACGTTGTTTTTCGGTTGTTTTGAAGAAAAGGTTGGTAACATTTGAAATGTAGATGTTTTAATGTCTAGATTAAAATAAAGAATGCATAAGTTGTTGTTTTTTTTTTTTTTCCCAAGGTGTAATAACACTTTAATTAAGGTAGTTATGATACAGCTTGAGCTGTGTCTTATGATAATGGCTGAAAAATAAAATTTGACAGATATATGCTTTAGTTGACTTAAGTTTTTTTTTGTTTATTGTTTCCTTTCAGCAGCAGCAGCAGCAGCTAGAAAAATACACTAGGTGGCAGCAGAGAGTTATTAGTCAAATGCCTTTACTGTCAAGTTTGACATTTAGTGCCAACATAAAAGGTTTTTCAAAGCCATCATGCAAGGGAAAATGTAAATATATCTGAGATTTAATATTAAAACTAAAACATTGACATTTGATTTTAAATTCAAAAGCTAAATGTCAATTAAATTGTTTTAATTGAAATCAGTCAATTTATTTTCAAAAAGTTTCTCCAAAAGCAGTTTTGGAAAACAATCAGCAACACAATCCGACTTATTATTATTTTTATTATTATTATTATTTTTTTAGCCCCTCTCACTACCCTCAGGCTGTTTTATGGGCCAATGCCAGCTGGGATCTTGGAGAGCTGTAGAGGAGTCAGAGCTGTGGTTACTGTACCAGAGACTTAAGAAATGGGGGCGCAGGAGAAACCCAACACCACCTACAGGACTGAAAGTAAAAATAGAGCTCATCTGCGCCGAAGGTGTGGCCATCAGGACACGGCTGCTGCTGCTGCTGTGCACGCACTCCTACAAATGTCCTCCAACGCTTTTATCCCTGCTGGAGTCCAACCGGTCGGTTACAGTCGATAAAGAGATGAACGATCACATATTAGTGTTTCTGATTGGTGTTTATTTTATTTCTAATCTTTGGAACAAAATGTCAAAAATTTGTTTGTTGATAAAACAGCTGATGTTTAGGCAGAAAACTGCAAAGACTCGTGTTTATATTGCCAAGAAACATCAAAGATGTGAGCTATGATTAAATGTATCTAACTTTCTGTGGATTGATGAATTCATAAGGTCGTGTAACATTTGAAGGGAAATGGAAAAATAAAGTTTGCAGCATTAATTTCAGTGAAAATCAATGTTTGTTGTTTTTCAATGTAACAACTAACTTGATTACCAGAAATGTGGTGAAAGAAACCAGTTCTTTTACTTCTGTGGAGATTTTAACACTGTTTTAACTACCCTTTTCCTGCAGTTATTTACTTTGCCATTATTATAGCTGATATAAAAAATAAAGTTGAGCCAAAGATCAAAGAAATGCCTTTCAAGAAGATTATGGATGACTTTCTACTAATGATGGATGACTTCCTGCTTGAGAAGCAGAAGCACCTCTAAGAAGTAAAATAGAAAAAAAAAACCCACAAACTTTGAACTAAAAATAAGCAAATCTTACACTCTAAAACGCATAAAGAGACCTACGACGGAGTATTAGGGCCACACATGAAAAGAAAAAATATTTTTGCCATGACGAGATTAAACTCGATATGTCGACTTTAAAGTCGACATGTCGACATTAAACTCAACATTTCGAGAATAAAGTTGAAATGTCATGTTGAGTTTAATCTCGACGTGTCGACAATAAAGTTGAAATTAGTTCAAGAGAGCCAACCGCTGCACAGGTTACATGCACAGAATCCAGAATCAGACATGCCTTGTGTAGATGATTTGGTCAAATTGTACTTTCTGTGATGATTATACAGTTATACAGTTGCAGCCCGTCAAAGACTACCTTCATTCTTAAAACGCAGACTGCAGCTGTGGAGCGCAGTTGCTCTTTTCTCCTAACTTTGGAATGTCGAGATTAAAGTCGCCACGATATATCAACTTTATTCTCGAAATGGCGAGTTTAAAGTCGACACGTCGAGATTAAACTCAACAAGAGATTTCAACTTTATTCTCGAAATGTTGAGTTTAATGTCGACATGTCGACTGTAAAGTCGACATGTCGAGTTTAATCTCGTCATGGCAAATATATTTTTTCTCTTCATGTGTGGCCCTAATACTCCGTCGTAGAGACCAGAGTGGAGGTGATTCCAGATGATTAAAATTGGAATAAAAACTACCTCAAACCTAAATTAGAAACGGCGTTAAATATCAGCTTAAACCAACAGGCTGAGATGTGTGTAAGGCTAAACAAATGTGGATTTGATGGAAATGTGAGTGTGTGTATGTATATATCTATATATTTATTATGCCGCCTCCACCTAAAAATCGTCAGTTTAGCACAGACTTTAAATCTGATGCCTTTTGATTAATAAACCCAAAGGCACTAGGTTAAAGAGTGGGGGGGAAAAAGTAGAGGACTAAAGAGAGAGCCCTGTGGAACGCCATGGAGGGTTTAGAATCTGCTCTTCTAACATATGGTTCTGACTGCTAAAGAGGACCTAAATCAGTTTAATGTAGGTGCAAAAACTACCCACATGAAGCTGGAAAAAGGTCGTTTAGTCAAGCAGCAATTAAAAACACAAAGATGTTATTAAAATGTAATGATTAAGTAGTTTCTGTGCTGTGGTGAGTTTTAAAACCATACTGAGAAAAGCCTCAGGATATTATGGTCATCTAAGAAGGGATTAACTGATTAAGATTGTAGAAGCTAAAGGATGCTTGGAGGTGAGGTGGTTGAAAGCTGATCAAATGTCTCAGAATTGCAGGGAAAAGTTGATGGCTGAATAGGGCCGCTGCTACATCTGTTATTCATCAACCCCTGTATTGAATAGAGACGGGGAGCTCTCAAAAATCTACTGCATAACTCTGAGGATTTTATTAACTGACCAAACAATATTTGATAAATACTGAAAATTGGTTTATTTTATTTTATTTTTTAGCTCTGGGTAAGTATGAATTGAACAGTGCGATGATTCATCCAACAAAAACTGAAATCATGAGCTCATTCTAGACAAGCAGAGGAACAGCCGGGAAAAAACATGGATGAATAAATTCCACAGAAACAGCTGAGGCCACCTAATTATTAAAATGTCTTACATGTAATTAAATCTCCGTATTAGTCCAAATGTTCTCCGAAGGAGACAAACAGGATTATGAACACAGAAAGAACGCTTGTCGATAGGGAAAGGACATAGGTTTCAGAAAAGATGCCAAACATCCATCCTGTCATAGATCAATGTTCATCATATTAAAATGGACGACACGGCTGTCCAAATGAACAGGCAGTCTGGGCCGGGATATCTCTGGGAGAATTGCAGAGCTAGACACTTGAGGTAAGACAATCTGTCCACTGTAAAGTTATTGGTCCCTTGAAATCTAGTGTTTTTACCAAGCCATTTAGGGGCCTGCTTAAACATCAGGAGGATGCTTTGATCAGATGAGGACACTTCTGGAGGAAAACTGTTTATTCAGGTATTGCTGCAAACAAATGGCACAGATTGGGAGGTGGAATAAAAAAAATGTGATCCAGAAATAAAAGTAAACATTATTTTTTTTATAAAGAATTTGTTTTTGAGTTACTGCTGTCTTCTTAGGTTGTTTTTATTTTTCTCAACTTTTTAAAAATATTTTATTTTTATTTTATATTTTCAAATAAAAAAATAGACATATTTTATATTTTCAATTTAAAATGATATAGTATTGTTCTTTTACAGCTTATATATATTTTTGCATATTGATTTTTTTTTTTTCAAATTGCTTTTTCCAGATAACCTCTATCCTAGTAAATTAAACCCACCCACCAGCGGATCATTTTTTAATTCATTTTTGCCTGCGAGTTTGGTCTAGCCTAGATCGATGCCTCAGGCCCTAGAATTGGCTGGCCAATCACAATGCAGAGATGTGTTTTGAATTTCTGGATGCAAAGAGGCTCTACTCTCATTCATTTTTAAGAAGGACGGATTCGCCATTTTATCGACAGGCTGTTTGTTTACACTCCCCAACCAGCTTTCTGTCGCACTTACGATGTCACAGTCAGTTGTGCTCATTGGTCAGAGCGTTGGCCAATAGGCACAGACATGGTTTGAAAAACAACGGGTTGTTCTCATCAACAATCTTCCAATGTCTCATTTATCGGGGCCAGACTTAATTACACATTTAATCTCACATTTAGTCTGGTTTATCAGGCTGGATAACCTCTCCACTGCGGCCATATTTTTATCTGGAGAGAAGAGTGGAGACACGTTTCTATTGGTCTGTAGGGATCCTAGCAACAACATTGTACTGGTCAATGTGTGCACCAAGAGCGAAGCAGTTGCATTGGGCTTGACGAGAACAAAATGTGATCTGTGAAACGCAATTTGGAACGAAAAAGGCAATGGAAAACAAATTTAGAAACAACTGAAAATAAAAAGTCTGTAAAAAAAAGTTTCTGGATTACTTTTTTCCCCCATTTCTTTCCATCATCTTTGCTATAATGGAACAATATTCACTCCGTAAATAATTGCTAACCAAATAGTGCTTGCAGGAAAGAAGGCACTAGTACCAAGAAGTAGTACACTCTTTAGCATCAATGCAGCTAGCATAGAGACGCCTTAGCTGCCACTAGCTTTATGTTTGCCCCTATCCTTTCCGTCATAGTCATATGGGTATAGCCAACCTCATAGAGTTTAACAGAAATAAATGTTCTTTTTCCACATGTACTCTTTGCATGACACATGCTAATCTACCCGTCATATGTTTTGGGTTTCAGAACTAAGCTAGCGTCATACCTGTTTGTATCTGCCCTGTTTTGACAGGCGTTAAGCTGAAGGCTGTCTGGATTCAGCACAGCAGTCAGGTGCTCCTTCCATACCCAGATCTTACTGTTGACCCCACGAAAGATGAACGATAGGGGCTACAATTTGAAATATTCGGATTGAGCCAAAGACTCGTAACGTAAAGCCATAGCTGCAGTGGAATGTTCTAGATCACGGTGTTCCGGTGTCACAACGACACATTCGGAGTCTAACTGAGAAGCAAGACTTGAAAACTGATGTTAACAGATGGCACCAATGCAAAGCTCATAGAGACACTACAGTATTCGATTCTTATTACTGAGATTGAGGTGTAGTTGATTTGGAAATCAAAAAATCAACGATACAACAAATTCCCTCTCAGGATGTTCATTTCAAGGCTGCTACTTCAATAAACAATTTCAAAGATAAAATCTGAAAGTTATGCTATTCTGTTCATCAAAACTTAAGGTGAGTGTTCAGAATTTGTTGTTTGGAAGAAAACGATTGAAGTGCGTAGATCCAGACATGACTGCACTCAGGGTTTGTCTGTTTTTTTTTACAATGTTTACCTTTTCGACTGCAGATTTGTCCGGTTTGTTAAAGCAGCAAAAGAAAAAAGGAAAAACTTCTGTATGATAAACCTCATAGATCTCAAGTTTACCAGCATGCTCACCAACTCCATACCTGCCGAAGGGGAGTTAACTTTTCAACTGCTTTTTTTCCCCCTGCTGTCATTTCACCATATGAGGAGGAGTGTTCTGGCCGTTTTAAAAATACCACCTTGTAAATAAGATTGACAGGTCCAAGGATCCATCTGAGGAAAGCAGCCTGATCTGCTGCATTTCCCCCATGTTAGCTATCCTCTAGAAAGTTTACCTCCACTGACCAGGTAGTTTTAGTATTTTATTCCTTAGAGATTATAAACCCCATGTCTTAATTCTGGAGACGTTGCTTGGCCTTCCAAAAATAGTCCCTTCCCCTTCTAAAGGCCGTCTCCCTTTGCTCTGAGGGGAGCACAGCTCTTCTTTCCCTAAGAAAGTTAAAGATGTTCCAAAGTGTCATTTGATCCCCCAACCCCCACTATGAGCATATGTGACATCACATGCCAGGCATAAATAAGGGGGCTTTGACCATGGCTCAGGACCACTCTATCTTGGGACTTCAGCTTCTCTTCTCCTTTCTTTCCGCTCCTCTGTGCACCTTCTCTCCAAAATGGTGTGTAGTAAATGTTGGATGGTTCAATTTGGGCTTGGTTTGGATTTTTGCTATCAGATTGGGCCCCTTAAAGCTTTTTGTTTGGAATTTCCCATTTGCAAGACTCCAAATTGTGTTTGTTTCGTCAACCTGGCTATAAGGGGTTCAACAAATACCCAAAGAAAAACACAAGAGCTCCATCATCCTTACCAATAGTTTGGAAT